TAGTCTTCAACTTTATCAGAGACCTGAAAAGGATATAATATTACCCGAGTAAACAGGAAGTGCAGAGTAAACAACTTCCAAAACTAAGAAATGACAGAAATAGCTGGCTGCCTGGACACCCAAGATTCCTCTGTAACATTGGAGCATTCATCTTTAGCATACAGGCCTAGAATATCTGATAGCCTTATCTGTGAAGCAGGATTTTTGAAGGAATGTCTAGCCTTGTCATGGCAAAGTTTGGCAGTCACTTCCTTTTGTGTCCTGCTTTCCAATTTGGACAGCATAATGTCAGCAGTTGAGGCAAGGGCAGTTTCTTGCCCAGTGGCTAACTTTTGTCACAAAGATAGTCAACTCCATATGGAGTTTCTTTGATGCCCATCATCTTCTCTGAAGTAGATTGGTGCTTCCAAAAGTAGACATGTCTCATTGTCAAAACAAAAAGAAAAGAAAAAAAAAAAACAAAACAAAACCCAGAACCTTATGTTATTAACACATCCTAAATGCCATGTTCTGTTCATGGTCCCTGCAGTGTTTGAAGACTACCTGACTATCTAAAATATAACTCTGTTTGACCTTGAAAACATACCTAGCATGATTGTAAGTTTGACTGTAATAGGTGGCTAACTACTAACCTACATTTCTTTATTATCCTTAATAGTTTGCAATAACAACTTTCAAGGACTAGAAATTTACACTACATTGTTAAATAAACTATATAAGTACAATATCTTAAGCAGGAGTAGACATGTAGGTACAGTAGCTTCTAATAAATAGAACCTTGAATTTGTATCAATATACAAAAACATCTTAAACAAGAGTGGAAACATATGTATAACAAAACTAACCTCAATACACAAAAATCCATACTAATATAAAATATTTAAGACTTGTAGTTGTTCTTTTTTTGGTTTAAAAGTAGATTAAATAATCTACCCTTTTATCCTATCATATCTTTATCTCCCCTTTTCTTTTCAGGACTAGATTCTTAATCTAATCTTCATTCAGCTTTTTTCCTGACCATTACTAGTAATAAGTTATAACCACCACCACCACCCCCAAATAATGACAAATATCCACAACCCAAGGAATGAGCAAAAACCACCCACCCTACCTCTTGGGAATGTAGGCATCATGTTCTTAAAATTACTTCCTGTTGTCTGGGGGTGACAACATCTTGAAAAAATATTGAAATAATTGTCAAGTCCTAGGAGAGCTAGCTCTATCATTTGTTGTTGTGTCTCTGTGTAATGGGAAAGTAGGGGGCTTTTCTCAAGTCCTGGCTACAGTAGTCTGTGAGCCTGGACCATCTCAGCTAGTCACCTGGAAATTGTCCTGAGGAGTTTGCAGTCCAAAGCTGGTCTTTGGGTGGTGTTTTTCAGTTTAATGGCATTACCATAGTCCTGGTGGAATTGTCATTGTGGTGCCTCATTCTCCTTTTGGAGACTTCTGAAGGTCACTGCTAGGCATGGTCATGGTTCACTGCAGAAAATTTAAACATTTTAAATGTCATATGCAGCAGATCTCAAACAGGTTAAAGGACCATAATTTGTTATGAACATCTAGAATTAAAAAAACTTAATTCCTAGTAACCTATTAGAGACTAAAACCCAAAATCATGTACAGGAAGCTATATGACTATTAATATCATACAAAAAGTTTAAAATATATTTATACCTTAAAAAAGTTTTACAGAGTCAAATAAAAACAAAGAATTATGAGATTAGTGACAATAAAATAATTCCTTAATTTTGGTTTTTCTTCTGTCACATATCATGTGGTTCTCCTGACATGAGAAGGAGAGAGTCACGTTCCAATTCCAAAGTCAGCTTTAATTTTTAATTAAACTGGAACTTATATAAAAAGACCATTTGCATTATATGTCTGTAGAGAACAGCAGCAACAAACATTTAGGAAGATAGATGAAATTTTATCCTGCCAGAAATGTGATATACCAATAGGCCATTTACTCTGTTTTTGGGACATTTTTTTCTGGATGATTTGCCCTTTTTCTTTAGATGTCTCATTTGTCCAGTGGTCTTTGGATTCCTTAGTTGGATGCCTTCATTCCCCTGTAAAGGCAAAACCTAAATCCTACCCCAACCCTAACTTTGGGGAATTTCCTTTTTGGCAAGTTATATCTGATCAAATGCAAAACATTTGTTAGTCTTATAAATTAGTTTACATTGAATGGTGACACTGCTTGATGAACTATCATCTCTTCTATTCAAGAGGTCTCTCTTGTTGTTTCTCCTGAAATTTTTGTTTTATCTTCTAAAGCTGTTCTATCATCCAGAGTGGTATGGTTTTTTACAATAGGCATTATTAGGTCTTTTAATTGTTCTGTGGAGGGGTTTTCCCCATGGTGACAGGGAATGATTGAACCATATTTGATATGGGAGCCTGTGAGAGCCCTCCCAAGTTTCTTTCTGATAGCAAAGGGTTACCTTGTCTGTCACTCATTGATATGCATTCATTGGTCCAATGTCAACCTTTGCCATACCTTTTGCATACTCCAGAAGGCAGGGGCCTTCTCTTTGGATTATTCCTAGAAAACACATTGTTTCTAGGAATATCCTGCCTACAATCCCTTTTTAGGTGATCTTGTTTACCACAATTAAAACATCTGGGGTTTTTCTTCAAGCCTCTGGAAGTCACCTCTCCTATCCAAGCATTATCATGGTTATGAGATTCAATATTGACTATATCTCAGATCCATTTCTCTATGGGTGTTGATCTTGCCTTTAAAGGCCTAATTACCCTGTTTCATTATGAATTAGCATTTTCAAAAGCCAAAGATTCAATTATTGTTTGTCTAGCTTCTGAGTTGGTATTATTCTATTTATAGCTGAAGTCAATCTTTGTAAAAAAAAAATTAGTGAAGCCTTCTTTTGGGCCTTGTATAACTTAAGTAAATGACTCAGTTCTCTTTCTGACTTCTCCAGTTCTATCCCAAGCATTCAAAGTTGTTACACAACATAGGGACAAGTTGTAGTCATCATATATAGACTGTCTTTGTGCATTAGCATGATCACCCTCTCTAAGAAGTCGGTCTTGGGAAATTTCCATACCTCTAGCCCTACTTCATTGTTCAATGAATGGTCTTAGCCTCATCTTTCTACCAGGTCCTCCACTGTAATTGAAGACCAGGTTCCAAGACTATCTGTCCAGTCTTGTGGGACCATTCTGTTACTAGGTGACCATGAATTTAACATCTGCCTCACAAAAGGTAAATGCATACCATATGAGACTTTCACTTCCTTAAATCTCCTCAAATCTGTCATTGCCACAGGAATCCAGTCAGCTCTCACATAGCCCTGGGGATACCTGTCATTTAGCAATTGTTCTTGTAGGGTGACTGGATGAATTAAGGTTGTTGTTGTTGTTGTTGTTGTTGTTTGATAACCTTGGGCTATTCCTCTCTAATTTTATAATATAATGGTAAGCTTGGTCCTCCTTTAAATTCCTCTGTCTTTGCCTGAATATCTCTATTGTCTGTTTTAGTAAGTTTTTCTAAGGCTGGTCGGTGGTGAGGGGCTAACTCTGGTGGCATTTGGAGACCAGCAGCTTGTGGAGTTTGGGGCTTGTGGAGATGGCTATGTAGAGACTGCAACAGGAAAATCTCAGACTATCCCAGAGGGTTTGGAGAAAGAAAGGAAAAGCCAGCCAGTGGTGGGAAGGCTCGGACAGGTGCAGCTCCTGTGGTTGCCTGTGGCTGCATAGCCAGGAGCAAGAGGTTATCTTGTGAATTTGTGCCCCAGTTGGACACCAGGTTAAGCATTAATCTAATTAATCCTTATCAATAAAAAATCAGGAGTCAAATATTGGGGTGAGAATCTAAAGGACCAGAGAACAGGGAATGGCTGTCCAAAAAGCTGAGATCCTCTGGAGAGAGGATCTTCTTACTTCCAGTATCCTCTCTCTACAGTCCTCCAGATCTCTACAGTTAGCTAGTGGCTAGCTCTGCCCTCTGACTCCAAGCAAGCTTTATTTGTCAGAACACAATAAAAATATTACACAACACCAGGACTCCAGGAGGCCAAGGCTTTGAGGACCTCGGTCCTGAAGAAGGGCTTATAATTCTTTGTTGGGTGAGAGGTAGGACATAGCTTTGGCAATGTACTCAGGATTTGTCTTTAGAGTGCAGGCTAGAGTTGACAAACTCACTGAGGCAGGCACTCAGAGTATACAACGAGCCTAGGCCACCATTGCTTAGTTCTGTGTTGTAAGAACTGAACAATTGGGTGAATGGATGAATCCAAGAGGCTTCATACCAAGCATTGGGTGCTGGGATATGATCCACGTTGGGTCTTACATTGTTCAGTCATTGCTCTGAGTTGACAAGTCACTGCAACTAACCTAGAAACATCCATAATCACATCTTGGGACACATTTCCTCTTAACGAATTTGAAAGCATGATGGCTATACTGTCAGAGAGAGGAACCTTGTATGTGCAAAAAAGGCCTAAGCCAGAGTTCTGTTTTACAAGGGGGAGCCTGGCCATGCCCTGTCACCATTCATGTGTTCTCCTTGGGTTTTTAGTAATCCCTTAGAACCAACCATTCAAAATCAGGGAAGCCATGTTTGAAGTAAGCACGATAGTACTTCATAGGGCCAAGTGAGAAGAGTCAGTCTACCATGTGAGAAATGAATCTAGATGTAAGCCAGGTGGCAGTAAATATCTTTTAAGGCTAAATACAGAAAAGGAAATGTGGAGAAAGTAGTGGGGTTCTCATGCCTGGAGTTTGCTTTCATTCACCCTGGAAAGGATATGAACACACGGGGTTTATTTACAATTGAACAAGAGGAATCTAAAACACTTTGGTCATCTTTCCCTCCATTTTAATTAGTTCTGTATATTTATTACCAAAAATTAAGACAAGATTACCTTTATTACAAATGTCTGCAAACTAGAAAGTTCAATTATCTAATTATTTACCTTCTAACCAAACTACCCCTAAATTCTATTTACATTCTTTGAAGTTCTTGTATTTTATCTCAGTCCTGAGGCTCTTAGAATACTTGAGACCCTCTTCCTCAGGAGGCCTCTTCCACGCTGCTGATTGTGCCGTCGCCATGTCTCTAGTGATCCCCGAGAAGTTCCAACACATTCTGCGGGTACTCAACACCAACATCGATGGGCGGCGAAAAATAGCCTTTGCCATCACTGCCATCAAGGGTGTGGGGCGGAGATACGCCCTCGTGGTGTTGAGGAAAGCAGACAACGACCTCACCAAGAGGGCTGGAGAGCTCACAGAGGATGAGGTGGAGCGGGTGATCACCATCACGCAGAACCCACGACAGTACAAGATCCCAGACTGGTTCTTGAACAGACAGAAGGACATGAAGGACGGAAAGTACAGCCAGGTTCTGGCCAATGGTCTGGACAACAAGCTGCGTGAGGACCTGGAGCGGCTGAAGAAGATCAGAGCCCACAGGGAGCTGCGCCACTTTTGGGGCCTTCGTGTCCCGAGGTCAGCACAGCAAGACCACTGGCCCCCCGTGGTCGTACTGTGGGTGTATCCAAGAAGAAATGAGTCCCTGGGCCTTCACTGTTAATAAATAGTTTATATACCTGAAAAAAAGAATACTTGAGACTCACTTGTGCTTCTTAGGGTCAAATTAAAACATAAAGATATAATGAAGTCATTCAACATGTGTCTAAACTGCATACGTTCCATATAGATCAGTGGGGACAAGTTTGGAAGACATCCCCCAGCGCCAGAAAAATGAAAGACTAGAAATGCGTCACAGAACTAGTGCATAGATTTTTCAAAATGCTTGCTGTACAGTTTATTCCCAAAAACAGCTTTCACATCCGCTGCAAAGCATTATCAGCCATAAAGAACAGTGTATGATTTAGGCCCAAATCGGACAGATCCTTCCTATGGCCGCATTCTCAGAAGAATCCACTCACGATACAGGCAGAAAGAGCAGATGCATTTGAACGAACCCCTATTTTCTTTGTGCTTATTGCCATGAAGACTTCTTAGCTTGTTCAGTCCTCATAAACTCTGCACCAACAGCGATGCCTGACCCTTCTCTTGGGAAAGCCACTTTGAACTTCGCTCGTGATTCTTCACTTTGGTCCTCTACCCGGCGGTGGAGCCAGTGTCCTATTCTGGTCAAGGAGAAGGAAGCTTCATTGCACTAGGGGTTGAGGGAAGGCTTTCTCAGCTTTGCTAACATTTCTGGCTGTGGGACTTCTGAATCATTGGAGGAATCTTGTTCATTGGACAAGGAATTCCCAGGTTCACCCTTGGGCCAAGCATCTCTGATGGCTCCATGGAGATGGGCAGAACCCTCCAAAGCTGACTCCAAACAAAATTGCTTAGTCCTGGAAAGACCGAAGTCCAAACTCCAACCAGCAGAGGAGGGAGGAGCTGACAAACAAGCGTTTTCATCATCTTAGAAGAGAAATTGGATGCTAAGGACAATGGTCTTCCTGACTGATCACTGTCTTGGTCAGCGTGACTGTGCTGAGTCATTCTGCTACAATAGTTCTCCTCAGGTGGCCCAGCTGCTACTTCTCCCCCAGAGCTTCAAGAGCCAGCTGATCACAGCCATGGCTTCAGGCTCTTCCCAGGTGGGTTGTTGCTGTTGCTGTGATTGTTCTGTTCTTACGTTAAAAACTTAACATGGATGCTGAACTACATACTGACTCACTATATTTAACTCTGTCAAATATTAAAATTAGCATGGTCTTAGAGTTGTCTTTCTAAACTATTCATTCTGTTTTATAAAGTGATCCTAGTAGAATGGGGGGAAAAGGGAAATCGCAGAATAACAGGCATTTGCTAACATGCATACACAGACTCTCTCTTCCCCTCAGCTATCTGTCTTCATGAAGCTTTGCATATGAGGAATATTTTTTGAAGATGTATTTTTCTGTTTGCTTATGTGTCTGTGTGTGGGCATGAACATGTTAGTGCAGGTGCCTTGGAGGCCTTGACCTGGGGTTACAGGTAGTTGTTGATCACCTGTCAACTTTCACAGGTAAATAGGCAGCAGGGCAGTCTTCAACAGGGAGATTTCTTCCTGTTGTTAAACCATCTCCAGAGCTAAAGTGGTTATATTCTCATCTATAGAAAATTAGCCTCATTCCCTCCTTGCTTTGGGTTCATTCTGTAGGGAAGTGTTGAGCTTCTGCTCTGAATTGAGAGGACTGTGCATGTGTTTTCACTTGTCACTGTGAAAGTGTCAAAATACACAAAACCATCGAGAAAGCATAGTGCTCTTCTCATTGGCTCCCACAATTGTTCCCTTTCTTCCCCAATCCCCTGCATTCTGGCCCTTGCTCAGTAGCTACTCCCAGGTGGGGAGCTACTATTCACTACTGCTTGGCAGAAGCTGGTAGGCAGTCCACTTGGGGAGGGTTGTCCTGATAGCCTTGACTGCAGAGAGAAGAGGAGGTCGTACGCTTGACAGGTAAAGGTAAGCACCCTTACCCGATGGGGCCATCTCCCAGGCCCTTAAATATACTCTTGAAACAGAAGATTAGG